CCCCAAAACCCCAAAACCCCAAAACCCCAAAACCCCATAAAACCGTAAATAATAGAAAGACTTTATTAAATTATTTCTAGTTTATTATATAAATGAGTAAACACAAGGACCAATATGTTAATCAGAATACATCTCAAAACTTAACTCAGCTAGGACTCAATGAAGAGGAAAAATATGATAGCATGAAGGTACACACTCTAATTATATTGCTCTTCGTAATAAATTAGATTTAAATGATTTTTACCTTTTTAATCAATATTATTTAGATCTTTGTCCACTTCAGGACAGCTTATTAAGTTTAACAATATTTTAGAGCAAATCCAACCGCACAAGTTTCGAGTTTAATTTGTAAAATAGCCAAGCTTATTATAGTCAACAACAAGAAATGAATGAGGCAACCTACATAGAATCCAAAAGACAGAGACCAAAAATAGAGGAGTAATGTCTTTGAATCCCACTTTTTTATTGTATTTTATTTATGATAGTTTTTAATTTTAAGCAAAATCCTGCAAAATCAGAAAGAATGAGGAACTAAATCCTTTTAGGCATTATGAATTTCCTTGTCCTGACATTATTATTAATAATTTTAGAGATATCAATAATTCACAGTGATAATCTCAGCATCATGTTCAAAATGATCTTTAATCCACTGTCTAACTTGATGCTCCTTTTTGTTTTTAGGAATATTGCTAATCATAATTCCAAAGTCGGAAGGAGTAATATTCTTCTCATCGAATTCTCTTATCATCCAGTTCTGGTAATCTCTCATAAAGATACTGCTAATAAAAATAAACATGATTCAAACTATATTCAAACAGATTTGTAAAATAATTATACTTTTTGAGTAGCTATCAGGTTCGTTTCCAAAGTTTCCAATTGAAGTTGAAACAATATAAGATGAGTTTGGATCCCACTCTCTCCTTCCGTCTTGATTTAGATTGATAATAAAGCAAGGTAGCCCTGCAAAAATAGAAATAAAAGCGAAGCAGCTGATAGTGAACAATTTCAAGTGGTAATATAAAGGAAACCCTATTCCTAAAAAGTCAAGATCCAGAATATCACAATTCAAAGGAAGCATGCTAACATACTTCTTTTGAATCCTCCCACATCATTTACAGTAGATTTTATCATTGCTAACTTCAGGATCGTTTTGGATTTCTTCAACATCATGAGTAACAGCAAGGTTCATTATCTTATGATCCTCAGCAATTTCAAAGTCTGGAGGCCATTTGTCCAAACCATCATCCTCATTCTGAGCCTCTACCTGAGATTCATCTATAATTATGATGATTCTCAAATGACTCATATTATATTCCAAACAAAATAACATTCTATCTTGGGTTTGGGTAAACATTATCTATAAGCTTACTTTCAGAGTATCTTGGAGACTCAAAAGGCAATAGTTTCTGACGCGGCAATATCCTAGCATCTCCAAAACTGATTCTCTCTCACTGAGAACTAACATCTGAACTGAGGTTCTCTTCAAATTCCTCTTCATCTCGAAGACTCCTCATCTTGATAAAATATTAATAAATAATTAAGCTTTGAGGATTCCTTGATGGGGTTTTGGGGTTTTGGGGTTTTGGGGTTTTGGGG